TATTATCGATTGAGACACATAGAAGATGCTTGCATAGGACCACAAAGCATGATGTCCCAGCATCAAAGAAAGGGTTATACTCTATGAACAAAGCAGAATTGCACAAAAAAGGGAAATATACAAATCTAGAGACATCTCTATTCCAAATGTTTATATGGACTATTTGTGCCCAACCCTTCCAAGCTCATATTTGTTTAATTGTCCACAGTTGAACACAGCATACATTAATTCCAACACAGTGATATTATTTTGGTTCTCTTCAAGTATGAAGAACAAACAGCAGCAGTAGTAGTAGCAATAGTAATTTCTCAAGTGAGAGTGGAGACCCATTTTTAACAGAAGTTTCTGTAAGAAAATAAAAGACAAGTGTTTTATTCATTTACAAGTTTGATTTAAGTCAACAATGTGATAAGAATCCCCCACCCCCAAACTTAAGGTGCTTTAATGGAACTATAGTGTCCACAACAATGAAAGTAGTTCTATAATATTATGCAGATATGCTCATAACATCTATGTAGTATTATGCCCAGGGCTAAAAAAAGGATATTAATATAGATGGTAGCAAACTAAGAAGGAAAATAGTGAAGAGTTGAGAAATAATGTCATGGGAGAAACAGAAAAGGAATGAGGGTTGTGTAGCTTAAATAACATTCAAAGCAATATGGTATCTATCTTCAAATACATAAAGAGCTGTTATGTGGGAAAGGGACAAGACAATCTGGGTAGATTCATAGGGATTTACCAAAAATTGATGTAAAATAAAGGGATTTTAGGAATTTCATTCAATAGAAGGCAGAACTTTCTAAAAAACAGAGCTATAGGAAAATGGGAAGGACAACCCTAGTGAAATACTGAATTCATTTCCATTGGAAGTTTTCAAACAAAGGACTATTTTGCAGATGATTGCCAAATTGATTAGGATGCTGAACTAAATAAAGACTCTATGATTCCTTTCAGCTCCTGTATTTACAACAATTAAAAGCATTTCTGTACCTGATGAGCTGGTGCAGCATACCCTCTCCACTAAGGCACTCCTCTTTTCTGGACTTACAAATATAGTGACTAGGTTTAGTTCTGGGGAGTCTGGTTGCTAGAGAAGGGTTGGGTTCCTTCCTCCGCACTCATCAGTCCCTTATTTCCACATCCTGGTGCCCCAGGGGAAAAAATTACTCAAGATTTAGGTTTGGTTCATGTCTAGGGACTGCCTGAAGTGAGGACGGGGTGAAGAGATTGAAAAATAGCCAATATCCAATAAGAAAAAAGGATGGAACAGTTATGTATTTCTTTCACACATGCATGCACACACACACACACACACACAGAAATGCTTAACACAAAAGGCTCTCAAAACCATAAATTAACAAAGACTTAAGCTATAGTAACAACTAGTAATGTATACTCATGGAGGGTTGCAATTTAAAACTATTAAAACGTAAGTTGTGGGGAATGATAAATAGACATTTTGCATGTCCTCTTGGCAGCATATTATCTAAACAGTTCATTCCAGATCCCTATGTTCTGCCAAACCTGGAGAGGACTTGTTTTTTTCTTTTCTTCCCTTTGGTAATAGACTTCTCTAATGACAAAACTTGCCTTGACATTAGTCAGTTCCAACAAAGGAAGACAAGATATCTAAATTCTCAAATTCATATGATTATCTTCAAGACTAGTCATATCCACAAATCTAAAAAAAAAATATGTTATTTAGTCATTTATAATCAGGCAAAGAACATTTTTTTAAAAAGCAATGAAAAGTCAAGGTTGAAATTTGACTATTTGAGCCCCCCATGTTCTATGGAAATAAACTGCTATATGGAAATAAAAATCAGGCTGCTGAGAATTATTTGTCACATATTCTGGAGAGTAAAAGGAAGAAATAGGTCTGGAAGCTATCTCTGTAAAAGCATGCAACCATTCTCCTGTAACTATTTTGAGGCTAAGGGAACAATAAGGACATTGCTTCATCCTATCAAAGGGTCTACTAGAATAGGTAGTCAGCAAGAAGCAGTCAGGGTAGTTCTGAGTATGTTCTGTGGGGGGCATTGCAACCCTAGTTAAACAAAGATTTTCTACCAGGTAAATTTTCTTCATTTCATATCACTTCACATTATAAAATCTATCATATCTTTGTAAGGGATTATCTTGAAATGACCGGGAACAAATTTACCTACCAAAAGCAATTGTTCAACGATTTTTGTCTTCAGGGCAATTTTCTATATAAACTTCTATGCCTGGATAATTCCTTTATGGAATCTTTTAGAAACAGAATAGATGCCTGGAAAATTTCTTTGTCAGTATAATAGCTCAGAATATCATTTCTATCAAAGCCATGTGTAAAGATGCTCTTGACATTTTATCTAATTTTCTCATGCATGGCATGCTAGAAGAGGCTTAAGAGCTGAGAGTCTGAATATCTGAGTTTCAGCCCCCCACCTCTAGGGTTGGAATCCAAAACAGGGGCACAGGAGAAGGGAGGGGATAAAAAGGGATATTGGTAATGCAGAAGAAGTACAGTGTAGAGATGTCCTGGAAGTGGTGTGGAGGCCTTGTTCTGGGCAAAATGAAGCAAAAGTTCATTTATTTAAGCCATGTATTGCTGGTGCAAATCCAAGGTTCTAGCAAGGGGAAGAAGGGAAGGATCATTATTTTGATGTTCAACTAGGAATGGAATAGAGAGAACTAAATATTTTTTACCTCAGCAATTTTGCAATGTGAACTACAACTCCTTATACCATTTTTTTTACAAATAGATTTTTTAGGCTTTGAATAAACATCATGTTAATAGATGAATTGGTCCTTCCTATGTGTGTAATGTGATTTTGGCAACAAAAGGAATAGAGAGCCCCTGTGTTCTCATGACACAACTCATGACTTGATTTCTAAGCTCTTTACCATTCTTCTTCTGAGTTTGCTTCTGTCTGCATTAAAATCTTGAATTTAACATGGATCACAACACTATAGTCATGATATTGGCAGAACTGTGTAATATAGAACTATTTCCCTTTGTGTGAAAATTATAATTAAATTAATACAAATTAAGTTTTCATTAGTTTTAGGGAGGCAGGGGATAATTATCATGCTATTACCTTACGTCAGGCCTGCACAACTTATAGCCTGGGACCACTTGCAGCACGCCAAAAGATTCCTTCTATATACAAAGGATGTTTTCCTCCACATTTTCCCCTGTCCACCCACAATTTGCCATGTGACAAGCAGCCCAGGTGCTGTAAGTAGCCAGCAGGTCACAGGTTGTTTAGACCTGCCTTATGTCATGCTTATAATCAAATAAAACACCCAAAGCCAAGACAACCTAGATATCAGGTACAATTTCTGACACATAACTGGCTGTATGACCCATGGCAAGTCACGTAAGGCCTGAGAGCACTAGGCAACTCTTTAATTCTATCAGCTACAAAGATAGAAGGAGATTCCACATATGTCCAGTCCCTATGCCCAATTTTAGTGCTATCTCATTATAAAAAGTGACATTCCTTCCATTATTTTAAGGAAGGTTTGTTTCCAAGCAATTTCTATCTGCATCAAGAAAGAAAGAAAAAAGGATGAGATAAATTCCACTTTTAAACCCACCAAATTAAAAGTAGTCACCTATATTTCAAAAATAGCATGCATTAAATTAATTTATTTAATTTTTATAATGTATTTTATTTATTTTTATAGTATCTATTATTTAATTGGTACAAAGAAGTGCTGGAATGAATACTCTCTCCCTTAATGTAGAATAGTAGCTTATGTATAATAACAGTTTTAGAGTATTACTTTGAACACTGAGAGAATAAGTTAATTGTCCATGTGACATATCTAAGATGTGTCAAAGGCAGGACTTAAAACTCTGTCTTCTCAGCTCTAAACTCAGCCCTCTCTTCAGTAAGCCATATTTCTTATTGTACAACTATAATGCCATTAAATTACTTTGATATTAGTCTCCACTCCTTGCTGAGAAGTTCCAATGCCAGCTGCAAAACTTGCTAGGCTCAGCAAATTGGGCTTACCTCAGAATACATGCATTTAAAAATAAACATATTCCTCACACAAGTGAAACCAGACACACTGTAAAAGTCATTGATAGAAGCACTTCTAGAAATGCCAGATTAATGTGTCAAGGAGAAAAATCCATCTCCCAGGTGATTAAATTATAAATTCCTATATACACAAGCACTTAAAAAAAAACACCTTAGGCAGGCCCATGAAGTTCATAATACAGTTGCTTTGAAAGAGGAAAGGATGCATCTACCTTGCAATATAAGAGCTTTATTCAGTAACCAACTTTCTAGAAAAAGATCAATCTACAACTCATGAGAAAGTAATCATTATATTGTAAAACCACTCTCTCACCATAAATACCTATCCAATACACTTTATTTTTCATTTTCAAAGAGAAATGGAATTGCATCTCAAGTCTCTATTGCTGTTTTCTTGAGATTGCCCTTACTCTTCATCATCCAGAACATAATGCATCAGTAAATATGAATTCCATTTGGGAAGGAGTTAAAAAAAACCAGATACACAAAAATAACCTTCAAAAAAAACCTCAACATAAGTAGTTTTGTTCCCTGTTCTAAAATCCATTTGTAATTTATTGTGTATCCTTCCCTTTCAGAAAATGTAAATTGATCCTTCCCTTTGAATACCTGTCAAAGTACATGATTACTCTAGAGTAGTGATTTTTCTAGACAGCAGATAACTTAGAATATCCTACAATGTGAGGGTGGTAAGGGTCTATACAAAAATGAATGCTTTTCTCACTAATTCAAGAAAAATTTAATATTTTATGTTTAAAGGCATTTTTTGTAGAATAGTGTTATAGGATATATTATTTTTGACATTATAAAAGTAACATGAACAACAAATTCATACTCTCATAGCATATTCTGACCTTTAGTTAGATTCTGTCTAACATATAGCATTTCTTTCATATTTCATATTACTTTATGGATCTTAAAATATGCACTGTAACATCTCTCTCACTCTCTTGTTTTCAGGTTTATTACCCACAAATGGTATTAATTACATGTATATTCAAGCTCATTATTTATAAATGTTTGACTTCAAGGTAAGCTTTTCTTTAACAGTTCACATCTAAGGGCTAAGATAGATAAATATCAGTATCTTGTCTTTTATACTGATTATGTGACCAAAAAAAATCTATTTGGTTTTCTATTTGCCATCCAAAATATTTTTCCCTGGACAAATAGGCAAATAGTTGTGTACTGATACAGGTAAGCGAGTCAAATTTATAAAAATAAGAGCCATTCCCCAATTGATAAATGATCAAAAGATATGAACTGTTTTCAGATGATGTGATCAAAATTATCTATAGTAATATGAAAAAAAATGCTCTAACTCACTATTGAATGGAGAAATGCAATAAAAACAATTCTGAGGTTAGATGAGCTAACAGGACAGAAAAAGAAAAGGTACAGTGGTGGAGGGGATGAAACATCAATGCATTATCAGTGGAGTTGTGACTTACAAATTCAACCATTCTGTAGAACAATTTGAAACTATGCCCAAAGGGCTATAAAACCCGCATACCCTTTGACCTAGCAATGCCACTACTAGGTTAGTATCCCAAAAGAGATTAAAAAAAAACAAGAAGGGAAAGGACCAACATGTACAAAAATATTTATAGCAGCTCTTTTCTGTTGGCAAAGAATTGGAAATTGAGGAATGCCCATCAATTGGTGAATGGCTGAACAAACTGTAGTATATGATTGTGATGGAATATTATTTGCTATGAGAAATTATGACTAGGATGCTCTCAGAATAATCTGTAAAGACTTACATGAGCTAATACAAAATGACATGTACTATGTACACGGTAACAGCAATATTGTAAGATGATCAGCTGTGAATGACTTAGTAATTCTCAGCAATATGATCCAAGACAACTGAAGAACTTATAATGAAAAATGCTATACATCCCCAGAGAAAGAACTAATGGTGTCTGAATACAGATTGAAGCAGAATTTTTTTGTTAACCAGCTTTATTTTTCTTGAGGTTTTCTCTATTTTACAACATGACTAATATAGAAATATGTTTTGCATGATTACACGTATGTAAGCTACATGGAACTGTTTACCTTCTCAAGTATGGGGTGGGGAGAGAGGAAGGGAGAGAATTTGGAACTAAAAGTTTTGAAAATGAATTTAAAAAATTGTTTTTATGGGGGCAGCTAGGTGGTGCAGTGGATAGAGCTCCGGCCCTGGATTCAGGAAGACCTGAGTTCAAATCTGGCCTCAGACACATAACACTTACTAGCTGTATGACCCTGGGCAAGTCACTTAACCTCCATTGCCCAACCAAAAAAATATTGTTTTTATATGTAATTGAGAGAAAATAAAATGCATACATACATACATACATATATGCATGAATCTTTATGTAATGTAAAATTACTAACCTGGATGCAAAGGGAAATCATCTACCAACTTACGTCTCTGATGACAGAAGCAAAGGAAATAATACACACAATGCTCTTACAAGAATTTTCCAGACAACTACATTTCAGAATGACTGGATATTGGAAAGAAAATCTAATGCAACAAAGATTATATTTTAACTCTATTGGTGAAAATAAATTGTACCAAGGGAGTAAAGCTCAAATTTATAAAAATAGAAGTTTTCCCAGTTGAGAAATGGTCAAAGGATATGATCAGGCAGTTTTCAGATAAAGAAATGAAAGTCATCTATAGGCATATGAAGAAGTGCTCTAGTCTAAAACACTTTAGATTAGAGAAATACAAATTAAAACAACTCTAACATATCTCCTGACACCTATCAGATTTGCTAATATAACAAAAATTGAAAATAATAAATGTTGGTGAGGATGTGGGAAAATTGTGACACTGTTGCATTGTTGGTGGAGTTGTGAACTTATCCAATCATTCTGGAGATCAATTTGAAACTATGAACAAAGGGCAACCAAACTGTGCATAGCCTTTCATCCAGTAATATCACTTTTAGGTCTGTATCCCAAAGAGATCATAAAAAAGGGGGGAAGGACCTACATGTGCAAAAATATTTATAGCTGCCCTTTTTATGGTAGCAAAATATTGGAAATTGAGGTGATTCCCGTCAACTGAGGAATGGCTGAGCAAGCTGTGGTATATGAATGTAGTAGAATGTTATTTTGCAACAACAAATAATAAACAAGAAAATTTCAGAAAATCCCAGAAAGACTTGTAGAAACTGATGCAAAGTAAAGTGAGCACAACCAGGAAAACATTGTACATGGTGTCAGCAACATTGTGTGATGATCATCTACGACTCAGCACTTCTCAGCAACGCAATGATTCAAGAAAAGTATAAAGGACTCAGGAATGTAAATGCTATCCATATCAAGATAAAGAATTGATGGACTTTAAATGCAGATCAAACCATTATTTTTACTTACTTTATTCTTTCTTGTGTTTTTAAATGTTTCTTCTTTCACAACTGTGACTAATATGGAAATACATTTTACATTATTTTACATGTATAAACTTTGTCAAATTGCCTGCCATTTTCAGAAGAGAGGAGGGGAGGGAGAGAAGGGAGAAAAATTCAGAACTCAAAATCTTGTAAAAATGAATTGCAAGAAGGTCCTAGACGTGTAACTTGGGATAAAATAAAACACTTTTAAAAATAAAATAAATTTTCAAAAAGAGTGGTAAAAGAAAAACTGGGGAACAAAATGAGTAATGCAAGAAAAATTTTAAGAGACTCAACATCTTGGTAAAAGAGGCACAGAAATACTGAAGAACATAACACTTTAAAAAAAACAAACATTATTCTAATGGTAAAAGAGGCATAAAAATTAATTGAAGGAAAGAACTCTTTTTCTTAGAATCCTAGGTCCTTTGCCTTCTAGAATATCATATTCTAAGCCCCCATTTTTTATGTGGAAGCTGCTAAATCTTGTGTGATCCTGACTATGATTCCATAATATTTGGATTGTTTCTTTCTGGCTGCTTGAAGCATTTTCTTCTTGAACAGGAAGCTTTGAAATCCCACTATAATATTCCTGGGAGTTTTAATTTTTGGATCTATTTCAGGAAGTGATCAGTGGATTCTTTCAATCTCTATTTTACCTTCTGGTTTCTAAGATATCAGGACAAGTTTCCTGATTGTTACAGTTCAGCCATTTCATTCTGACTCTTTGTGACCCCCATTTGGAGTTTACTAGGTAAAGGCACTGGAGTGGTTTGCCATTTCTTTCTCCAGCTCTTTTTACAAATGAGGAACTGAGTTATGTGACTTGCACAGGATCACACAGCTAGTAATTGTCTGAGGCCAGATTTGAACTCAGGAAGATGAATCCTCCTGGTTCTGAGCCTAGTTGCCCAGTTTTCCTTGATTATCCCTTTAAATATGGTATCTAGGGGTTCTTCTTTTGATCATGGCTTTTAGGTATTTCAATAATTTAATTATCTCTCCTTAATCTATTTTCCAGGTTAGTCACTTTTCCAATGAGAAATTTAATGTTTTCTTCTATTTTTCTAATATTTATAATATATAAATAATTAAAATAGGAAAATTAAAATATAAAATAAATTTAATTAATAACTGGATACAAATAATAGTTATTAAAAGTTTTGTGTGAATTTAGAAATAAGGCTGTAGTGACATTCTCCTGTGTATGTGTGCTAGTGTCTGTGCTATTTAACATTTCTATCAATGACTTAGATAAAGGATCAAATTTCATACTCATCAAATTTAAAGATGATACAGTATCCAGAAAAGCTAACACACCCAATTACACATGCAGCCTTCATAATGATGTTGAAAGAATATCTCACCCTGCCAATTATATAAAAGAAATGCTAAGAGGGATTAATGTAAAGTATTTGCTTTGGTTCAAAAATCAGTATAACAAACATTCATTGTGGGAGGTAAGACTAGATATCAGGGAATATGAAAATGACCTAGGAATTTTAGAATACCACAAGTTCAATGAGTCAATAACATATTATGGGATTTTTTAAAAAGCCAAACAATTTAAAAAGTTTGAGAGATATAATATCCAGGAGTAGAAAGATAGTAGTCTAGTTATTTTCTGCTTTAATGAGACTACTTGATCATTTCAATAAATACATATTTGAAGTTAGACTACTTTCCACAGAAGGAGGAGGTACTCTATCAATGGTGTAGACAGGAAGAGAGCCTGATTTCATTATTGCTATTTCCTTACCTGGACAAGTCATACAACAAAAATTAATTAAGCACCTACTACCTGCAAGGCACTATGGTGATATAATATATTGTTAACAGTGATCATACTCAGTGTCCTTTACATAGTAAGAACTAATAAAGAATCATTAAATTTAATTAAAATGATCTGATATATATTTTACTGGATTTGAAATGTCCCCATATCATTTAGTTATTCCTATATTCCCATGAACTTGGCAGAGAGCACTGTAATTGATATTTGCTGTAAATTAAATAACTAGAACTTTAGAACTGTCATGAAACAAGAGTTTCTTGGTACTTGAAAGTGGAATATTTAATATTTTGAATATTGCTTTACATATGATATATATGTATATATATGTGTGTATAAAACAACCTTCACTTTGTATTAATTGAACAATTTAACTGACTAGTCCCTTTGAAAGAAATCTAAGCATCCTAGATGTCTCATTTTAAAAACATATAATCATCATTAATAACCAGGAAACTAAAGACTTTTCTTAATGAACATTAAAATAACTAACAACTTTGTTTTCTGTTTGAAGAGACAGTTTCATTTTAAAAACAATATTTAAACTACAGTAGCCCTTACCTCCAGAATTATCTCTATCCCTGTAGGTTTAATGACATGGAAAATTGTAATTTAGAATGAAAGATTATCACTAGCTATGTCTATAATTTACTATAGAAATGTTATTATTTTTAAGGCTATTGCTATCACTTGGGAGAGTTAGCATCAATTTTTTCCATTAGATCTTCTGTTTAGAAATTGGATCCTAGATCAAGATAGTGAGTGTCAAGTAGTACTGTGAACTTCACCTTTCTTTCCCAACTCACACCCCCAAAAATCCTTCTAACAGATATACAAAATGTACTTG